GGCTAGGTCTCCATGAACTGGAGAGATTGCGGCGCATCAGAATAGCAAAAGGATCAATGCCTGGGTTAGAGAGGCTAGACATCACAGCATGCACGGTGCTAGAAACTGTGCCGGATGGGATTGAAAACCTGAAAAATATAGAAGACCTGGTTCTGTGGTACATGCCTTCAACATTCATCAAGACAATAGAGATGCACCGTGGTGAAGATTTCTGGAGAGTTTAACATATCACAACAATCACCCGTATCTACGAGAGCCAGGGGAGACGGGTCTCTGAAACTCTTCTGTAATTAGAGGGGTTAGCTACGGCGAGGATACAGTTTCCGGAAAATTATAATCTCTGTCAAGTTCCTCAGGTCTGTACAGACGTTTCATCATGTAATGCTGAGCCTCAGAAAACAGAAAACTGCTGCTCTTCCCTCCTCTTCTCTGCCCCTTTGTCTCTGTTTTGCTGTTGTTGAATCTTCCAACCTGCTATCTTGCCCGTGTTCGTCACCAGTAAATTCTTGAAACCGTCAATTTGTAGACATCAATACGAGTATATTTGGGATGTGTCAAATGTTGGGAAGTTCGACCGGTGATGTACTGATATTTGCTCATAGGAGGCCAAGCACACTGACACAATATTTAACGTGGTTCGGCAAAACCGCTTACATCCACGGGAGAAGCCATTACATTATGTAGGGTGAGTACAAGATTTACAACAATAGAGGAGGAGGAATCATCCCCTCTTTGAGCAACTCTCAACCTCACTCTATTTCTCTCCTTTTGTGCTGCAATGGCAGCCCACTCTCTCCTACATTTCTCATCTCTTTGGCTCTACTTCCTCTCTCTCATTTTGCTCTCTAACATATGCCTCTATTTATAGGCATTCATGGAGGCTATTCTTGGTTTTTTGTCAACATTTATGGCTACCAACTCTAGCTCATTCAATAATGGTGGCTACCAATAGTCAATGTCAATGGTTGGTGCCTTACATGAAATGGCAACCAACCTAACAATCACCCTCTTTGCCATGTGGGGCAATTGTCCTCTTGCTTCTTCAACACAAGCTTGCATCTTGCAGCTCTTCCAAGCTTTCCATTCTGAGAGCATCTTTGGTCAAGTTTATAGGTACTCGCCAAACCTTTCATCATCAGAGTAACCAAAGCACACCTTTTCTCACACAAAAGGATCATTATAACTAGATGATTTGCCACATCACATCTGAATAGTGTTAACGCTTGTCTCTGGAACAACATTCCCCTTCGAGCGTATCAACTATGCTCGGTCCGGAATGATTCATCAAGCCTCACATCAAGGCTTACAACACCCCCTCAAATGGATATTTCAAGTGCGACAGTCATTATTTGAGTATCTCAATATGATCACAAGCTCACCACTCTTCCAAGAGTCTACTCATCTAGGAGTTGCGTCTGCCCTCTGTTCCACCCTAGGAACCACGCCTTACTTCTCCATGAGTCTCTCGCTCTTAGTTTCAAGAGTCTGGGTAGCTTTCCACCTTTAACTATGGGGGCAGCCCATAAAAGGTTGATTCATATCTGTCTTCATACTCTGAGTATTACAATGCCATTACCGAGCTCACCACCTTGACAAGAGTCAACTTGTTCCCGGAACCTGCGCAATGCCTCTGCTCCTTCATAGCAGCCGCGTCTTAATGCTCCACAAGTCATCCACTTATTATCCAAGGCAAATGTCTTCTAGCTCATTGATCTTTAGCATGGGGGCAATATCCATGAAAGTTAATCATGCATTTGTCTCCATACTCATCATAACCTTTTTATTAGCTATCCATCTGTCCACTCATACCTAGCCATCACATTGGCTCTGGGGCGTTCTGAACTGGGCTCCTTCCACAGCCCTCACACCTTCTCTTGAGGTGTCTCCGCTCGTCGTCATGCGGCGGTCTGAACTTGGACTTATATAATGATCCTCACACCTTCTTTTGAGGTGTCTCCACCTGTTGTCATGAGACGGTCCAAACTTGGACTCATATCACGGTCCTCACACCTTCTCCTGAGGTGTCTCTGCCTGTCTTCATAAGACGGTCTGAAATTGGACTCATATCATGGCCCATACACCTTCTGTCTGAGGTGTCTTTGTTCGTCATAAAGCAGTCACATCCTCCTTCATCGGGGATGTCTCCAGTGACTAAGATTCTCTATCACCATGTGGACTATGGGAGAGATCACTGCCACTAATTACATAGAAAGAGAAAGTTGCGGTATACTCCTCGCAATCCTCCACCTCAATTTCTATGTTTGGAGCTTCTACGCCTTTTCTGCTTAACAGCTCCACCTACACCAACTCTCTTTGGTGTCTTCACCTTTCATCATAGGCGATCGCCTTTTATCACAGGCGTTTGCACCCCCTCAATTAGGTGCATCTGCAACAGCTCATCCTTCCATCCTTGCATGCATTGAAAGGTCCTCGCTTGTTGCCTTTATCAAGAGCACAAGAGACTTCTTGTTGTACAACTTTTTCATACAGTCTCTGCTCTGAGCTTCATCTGGGAACTCTTCTTTTCCTTGCACCTGTTGTCTCATTACAGTACCTCGTTGGATCCTCCGGGTACTCCTACACAATCTTCGTGTGCTCTCGTGCAATTTTGATTCTCCAGATTTCTCCCTATTCCTTGCTTATATTTGACAGCAGCTCATCCTGTCACAACATCTATCCAAGTCAAAATAGGGTGCCAATCTTCATTTTCTTGATGTATTTCTCTACCATTATCAGGGTCTTCATCATCAAATGTTCATTTTATTTTATTTTATCAAATTTTCACAACCTGAGTTAGTTTTACAAGTTCACATCAACTTTTTTTATGCTGGTTTTGTTTTATTCGTTTTGTAGTAATTTACTTATATTTTTTAATTTAAAAAAAATGATAAGAAAAAATAGAAGATCATTGTATATTGGATTAGTACTTTGAAATCCTAAACTCGTTTTGTTATTAGAACAAAAGGGTAATCCCACCCTTTGACTTTGCAACGTAGAAGCAGAGTATCCAACTTTGAGCCATAAAGACAAGGCGGAAAAAAAAATGAGAAGCCAATAGTATAAAAAACTTTATAATCGTATCAGATTTCAAACATCGTTTTAGTGATGGAAAAAGAAGCCTATACCACTCACAGGCAACCAACCACGGCAAAGAAGCCCCTACTCTGCCACCAGAAGATCTTGTTTGGAAAAGGAGTAGAGAATATACCTGCAAGTAGAAAAAATCCCTGGCCTAATATATAGCAAGCTTACCTCTTTCTTTCTCGGGCTGGCAGTCATCCATTGGTCAATCCACTTTATATATCCTGGGCCTAACCATACTGGAGCAAAGTATGTGAGCTTCGAAGGAAAAAAGAAAAGAAAAGGGGAGGCCCAAATAGGAGTTCAATTTTGTTGAATCCTGCTCTCTTATCTATCATGTATCTTCTTGCTAGCCTCTCAAGCACGAACGACCGGTGATGTACTGATATTTGCTCATAGGAGAAATAAATTTAACATAAAACCCCCTAACCGATGTAACCGATGTAACCGATGTGCTAAAGGTGAGATGGAAATATTTGGAAACCAAAATGTGCTGCCACATAATGAGAGAACCGAACGCTGAAGGTGTAACGGCACATTGATCCCTTTTCAATTTCACACTGAATTAATCCTGACTTCCTATCCAGAAACAAAAAAAAAAACCCAACCCACATGGGTGACTTCTTGATTGAGAGGGGTGAGCTAAGAACATGTAAGATAAATATGGTTCAAGTCTCTAATGGAAATTGAGCAGGAAAATCTCCTTTTCCCATCCTTGCGTGTCCCAGTCAGAGCCTATGGGTACGGTTTCATTTGACAGATGTACCAAGCTGTCTACATGCTTCTTGTCATACTTGTACGGTAATGCGACAAGTTATTTTTTTATTTTTAAAAAACAAAATATTCTTATTTTTTATCCATTAAAAAAAATAAAAATTATTATTCAATATTTTAGTTACTAAAAATTCTAATTAGCCTAAAAAAATTAAATATATAGATTGATTGTATAAATAGAAAATATTAATATTTTTAATATATCTTATATGATGTAAGTTATTTTGTTTAATTGTTTGATAGAAACTAAAATATTATTATATTTTTTAATTATTGATGTATTTAAGATTTAAAAAAAAATTCTTCTTAATAGAAAAATCTTTATCTTATTAAGTAAAAATTTAATCCTTTTAATATCAATAAAATAAAGAACTACCTTGTATTTAATATCGAGAATACGTTTTATGTATAAAAAATATCAAAATAATTTTTTAAAAAAATTTTAAAATATAAGCCTAATTCTCAAACCTTTAATAAACAATTATTAAAGTTCAAATTACATTATAATACATATCTTTTTTATCATGTTTGTTGAGCAAGTCCAAGAAAGCACTAGGATAACTTACCGGTCAAAAATATAACGAGTAGCAACAACCTGCAGGAGCAAATAATAAGGATTGAGCTTGTCTCCTTTCACTGTTATGGGTTCGAGCTCTAGTGTGCATGTCTGTTATCTCTGTGGTGTTTTACATGCCTACTAAGTTTGCAGGATATTTAGTGGGTCATAAAGATTAATCGTGGTGCGTGCAAACTGACCCGGATATCATGTAAATCAATAATAATAATAATAATAAGGATTGAGCTATATCAACAGCTGGACTGTTCATTTCAAAACCTGTTAGAGTAAGGGAGTGCAAAGTGCAATTGAAAACAGAAACATTACAAGCATGAAATCTCAAGTGACAAGGGTTTTTGTAACGAGTTTAAGACAAGAAGGCTAAAATTGTCTTCTGAAGCTCAAAACTAATGATTTTATTTTTTCTTCTTTTTTCAAGCCATTGATAGTGTTTTTGTTTTATTTTTCCCCTTCATTCTTGGCATACTGTCTATATACGTCATCTCTGCTCTAAATTTCTCCATTCTAACACATCCATATTTTAATAAATGCATTTTCTTCCTTCTTTTATATATATACATATAGAAACTGTCTTACAAGCATTTAGATATATTATTGGTTTGGTTTTACAATTTACACATTCTAATTTATAAGACCAGGAGTAAATCACAAATATCAGATATTTTTTCTTGCACCAAATTCATTTTGATGGGATAGAGATTGATGCAGTGGATAATTGGGAATCTTGACTTCACAGGTCAGCGAAGAAGAAAAACAAGTGCTAGTGGATGATGAGACTAGAGACTTGTCAGAAAATCAAATGTTCTAACAAATGACTTCTTCCCAAGTCTATAAAGAAAAAAACAAAGTAGCTTACACAACAAGTTGGAGGAACACCCCTTTCCACAAGCTTGAAAAACAAACAAACAACAACAAATAATAGACCAATGAAAATAATTGTGAGGGCCAAGATCAAATCAACTGCTCGAAAAATCACGATTTTTTTTAATTATGTTAAAGAGTTTACGTTAAAAAATAATTTTTAACATTAAAAATAAGAGGAGTTTATTTTTTATTTGACTTTAAATATGTATATTAACCATGTTTTAAATAATTTTTTCAATATTACGGGATTTTGTTTAGTTAACAGTGTAATTTAAAATAAAAATAAATTTAACATAAAACCTTTTTTTTTTTTTTGCAAGCCATTGATATTGTCTTTCGTTTTCATTTTATTGGCCCACACGGTGTCTATTATAATCCATGGTTGCCTGGGCATTTCTTGAATCATAGAATATATCAGAGTAAAAATAGAATTAACAGATCATGTTATCGGGTTTCTTAATAATGTTTACCCTCTCATTTCCTTCTAATACTATTTTGCAGCAGCTAGTCGAATGCGTGTCCAAAAATGTTTCTTATTGACACTCTTGTTCAGCTGTGACCAATAATTGAGATCAAATATATCAGCTGACATTCAATCAACAGAGAACTAATCCACCAAACCTTTAGGCTGATATATTAGCTTAGCCATGGCGTGATCTGTGTTGAAATTTAAGCATCAATGGACAATAACTTACGTCTCTTTTGGTAGGCCACTATCTTTGCTGTAATCATGGTTGTCAGGTTTGGTTTCAGCCATGAAAAGATGATTGATAACAACTTAACAAGTTCAGCATGTTGCTTGAATTATCACAGATAAATTATGATTATTTGCTTACAGAAATTATAGTGCTTTAGAATTCATAGATAATTAATGGGTTTTTATTTTTATTTATGTCAAATAATATGGAGTTCAAGGGTTTGGTTGAGAAAATAGGTATATAACTACACTGGTTACATATCCAATGTTTTAACAATAATTAAGAATTCAAATTGTTTCCATCAGTTCAGATTAAGAAGTTAGAACCACTCTCAAATTCAGATTAAGAATCCAACAATAATGAATATGGAAGTAAATCAGCCTGACAGAAATTTATTTCTTCAACCAAATTAGCAACAATTGATGATATTGTTCACGGGAATCTTGACTTCACAAGTCTACGAAGAAAAAGAAGAGCTAGTGGATGGTGAAGATGTCGGCAAATCCCTTCATTCCATGGAAAAAGTTCGGAACATCCCTTCATTCCATTAAAAAAGTTAGGAATATGCTTGTTTACAAAAAAAAAAATTATTTTGTAATATTTGATAGCATAATAAAAAATAAGTTGGGAAATTTTTTTAGTACATGGTTATATCATGAAAAATAAACTGAAAAATAACTTATTAATATTTTATTTTTAAAAAATTTATTATAATAACAAGGAACAAATCTTACAAATTAAAAAGTTAAATGAGAATAAATTAAAAAATATATAATTTCATAAATTATCTAAAATAAAATAAATAATAATCAAAATAATAGAGATCAAATCTAAAAAATAAAAAAATAAAAGATGAAGAAATTAAAATAATAATAATTAACATTTCATAAATTATTTCAAATAAAATAAGTAACAATCAAAAGAATAAAGATCAAATTTGATACATAAAAGTTTTTAATAAAAAAAAATAACAATTATAAAAATAAAGATGAAAATTAATATAAAAATTAAATTTTAAAAGATAAAATTAAAAAATAAATATTCAAAATAAAATATATATGATAATTAAAAATTTGAAGAACAAAATTAATATAATCAGCAAATAGTATAATATTTCTTATAATTTTTAGAAAGTGTTTTCTATCTAAATGTTTTAAAAAAATACTTTTTTTATAAACCAAGTTAAATTTTTTGGCTGAAAAATATTTTTTTTATTGATTAAATTTTTCAATGATAAATAAATATAAAATAAATTTTAAAATAAATTTTAAAAAACAAACATAATGCAAGAAAGAAATGTCTAGATGCGAAGAAAAAGCAAAGTAGTTTACGCAACAACTTAGAGGAATTAAAAACATGTCTATTGGAACACTGACAGTGATTGTGGAGCCTTAGACTTGATGATGCATCTATTGGAACCTATTAGCCTTAGACATTTTATGAAGCGACCACCAAGCACGGAGAGACCTTTCGTTAATGCTTGCCAGCTACAATTTCGGTTTAAATGCAAACAGTAAGCCTATCAATTTCTTCAATCTTGATTGATTCATCGAATTGTACTATCGAGGAGTGAGGAGGCCCGTTGTATAGCATCTGGAGCTCGACTCCACAGATCGTCGTTCCTTAAGAATTAAGTATCTCTTTATTCTTTTCTCTCATGAATGAATCAATTTTATTCATCAAATAATCAAGAACAGCTAAAGCAGGAGCCAGTCAGCCCTGGCCACGAATTATTACAGTCATTAATATCTCTTCACTGTTACTCCAATTAGAATTCTTAAGATTATCTTAATGAATAAATCAGCTACTATCTAAATATTAAACAATCCTTTATTTTTTTAACATCATGAGATGATAACTTATACTGCCAAACACTTCTACAAACCGTTAAATAATATTTTATAAAGAATAATTGGTTTATTTTGAATGTGTTTTTACTAAAAAAATTGTTCATTTTTACTGTGACAAAGTCATCCCCAATAAGGCACCCATGATTCACAGTCGAGCAAAGAAATCCAGTTGACTGTATGAAGAGACAGTCCCAAATGCACGTAACTATTGGCAAACCACCAGTATGCATGAGGAAATCACCACGAAATTACTGCTCGGTGGTGTTTGAAGTCAAAATCGCACACCGCAAGTCAAGCATCCGCATGAACGACATTTTATGCTGTAGCTCAATTTCTCAAGCAGCGAGTGCTAGGAGGCTGCCAAAAGAATGTCACGGATCAGTAATGGAGAAAGCGGGATATCCCACTTTTGACTACTTTATACACCCAACGTTTAACACAAAATAAATAGGACTCCACGGCAATCATTGATGAGAAGGTGGCACGCAAATAACTTAAATGGACTCCCAGATAAAATCATGGAACCTGCACAAGAAACGCAGATAAAATCATGGAAATGGCCAAAGTACTGCAGTCAAGGCAGAGCATGCAATTTTCTGCCCTGAAATATTAAATAAATATATAAATATTTTTTAACATTAATTATTAATTCATGAATATAAATTTTTGAAGTTAACAGTAAAATTTTAATTCAAATATATTATTTAAAATATTAAAAAATAAATTTAAAAATATATAAAATAAAAATAAAAATAAACTTATTATTAAAGTTACATCCTTCAATGTTTTAGACCTAGAGTGGATTATAATGATAAAAAAATATTGTATTATCCTGAAGAAGATTATATTCATTATCACTGTGAGAAGGAGAAAGCCAATATAGAAGAACTGAAGCTAAGAAGCAAGAAGTCTAGAGATGCTGCGATTGTACAAATCATAAAGATGTTCTCATGGTTTATAGAGGCAATGAGTTTTTTGAGAAATTCATGAATTTTAGATTCTGCACTCTCTTTTCATATTGTTTAAAGAAATAATGGTTTAATATTTATTAAAAAAATGATGGAAATTTTATCACGCAACAATCTTGCTCGATCTATACCTACAACGTTCTCAAATTTGAAGCAGATTGAGTGTTTGGATGTTTCTTACAACAACTTCAATGATGTCATATGTCGGTAATTTACCGAAATTACCACAATAACAGTTTTTAGTGTGGCGCACAATAACTTGTCAGGTAAGACTCTCGAGAAAAGGTATCAGTTTGAGACCTCTCGATAAAACAGTTATGAAGGAAATCCCTTCTTGTGTGGATCTCCATTGCAAAACAATTGTAATATAGAAGAATCACCATGGTAGCCAAAGGATAATGATGAACAAGAAGATGATAATTTCATAGACATGGAGTTTTTCTACATCAATTTTGTAAGGATTACGGACACCACCTATCTCCACATTAGTATGATATTGTCCACTTTGAGCCTAAGCCCTCATGGATTTGCTCTTGGGTTATACCCAAAAAGCCTCATGCCAATGGAGATATTTGTCCATCCTTATATACCCTTGATCCTCCCCATTTTTAACCAATGTGGGACTTTGGTCGCATACCCAACAAAAATTTGATAGGGAAGAAAAGAGATTTTTGAAAATAAAAGTGCTAAATTAAAAACTTTTGTGAAAGAATTATGTTCCTTCCCTCGAACAAAGGACCACCGAGCCTCTCCTCAAACGATCATTTATCCATCCACTCTCTGCCAACCAGAATTTTTCATTCTTTACTTCTCTCTACTTCATCGTGTTAGGGTCAGGACACGTCCATGAAGCATCCGGAGAGCACTACCTGACTTGAGAGTTTTTTTGCTCTTTCTAGGTCAACTCCTCTTCACACCGTGTTGAGATCAGGACACGTCCATGAAGCATCCGGAGCATACCGCCTATCCAATAGAGCTGATCCATGGATCATATCGTGATTTAATTAGGGCCCACCACCTCTTATTCGGCATTCATACCGCCTATCCAATAGAGCTGATCCATGGATCACATCGTGATTTAATTAGTGTCCACCACCTTTTGTTCGGCATTCCGAGGATTCATCCATCATGGCTAACTCTAGGGCATGGCTCTGATACTACTTGTAAGGAATACGAACACCACCTATCTCCACATTGGTATGATATTGTCCACTTTGACCCTAAGCCCTCATGGATTTGCTCTTGGGTTATACCCAAAAAGCCTCATGCCAATGGAGATATTTGTCCATCCTTATATACCCTTGATCCTCCCCATTTCTAACCAATGTGGGACTTTGGTCGCATACCCAACAAATTTTGGTATATGTTACATAGTTGTGGTGATGATGATTGCAGTAATTCTGTACATCAATTCAT